TAAACTGAGGACCTGCAGGTGTGGTTTGACCTTTGTCTTGCACAGCCTTAGGCCTGCCTAAGTGAGTCACAAAGGATGTCTCCAAGAAGGGAGGGGGCATGACCAGGCCTGTCTGACCTCCCCTCTTCATGGCCAGCAATTCAATTTTAGGGTATTTCTGGGGTGCCCTTGACCAAGAGGTCTCTTTTGCTACGAAAAGGGGTCCAGTCATCATCTGTGGCGTAGCGTAGGTATCTTGCTCTGCAAACCTGTATCTTGCTCTTGCTCTATAATCCTATCTTGCTCCCCCTCAATAAATGTCACTCATGCTTGTCCTACATTGGTGTGTCTCGGGATATTCGGCCAAGAGCACACCAAGAACCGAGAACACAGGACGAGATCGCCAAACCCGACATTGCTATTTGGATTTTCAATCCCTGGGTTTTGCCCCCTTGGGCTATGTACTGTTGGGCTGTAAAATCCTTAATCGGGGAAGCACCTGAAGTCACTTCCTGGCACAGTCAGGAGGTGGGACATTGTGAGAGAGTCACCAAGTTTCTGTAGAACATTCTGGGAGGAAGGTAAACACCAAGTGGTGGAAGCAGAGGAGAAGGTGAGGACAGGGAGGAAAGGAAACTTAGCCAATGTCCCCGGTTGGTGGAATCAAAGGGGCCCCGGGAGCTGCCCCCAAAGGGATGATTTCTTGTTCTCAGTTTTCAAGAGCTCCCCATGGACTGTGACAAATGATTAGCTTTATTCTCCACACAGGGAGCAATGATGACCTGAGATTTAAGGCAAACTTTTCATTGCAATTTATAAGATCAGAATTATTTAACACACCGACTGCCATGTGAGTTGTATTTAACTCAGGCTAGTTTTGAGCCCAGGGCCTCATGAAGCAAAACCCTGTAGTTGGCTCAGGAAAATCTTACCTGTTGATGTTCTTATGGTTACAATGAATATTGACAATTTAATTCTAAAAGCGTGGATTGCATTGCATAGAACTCACGCATAGAAAACAAATTAGAAAGGATCATTTTGTTTTAATAAAACACCGTGGCCCCAAGGAAAAACAATTTTTTTTTCTAGTGTGGCAGTCAGTGTGTTAAAAGAAGGAATGGGACCCCTCACTGGGTAGGAGGCTCTCCTCCAGGGGGTGCTGTAAAAGTATAAAAGGAAACCCTGTCAAAAATTACAGAGGGAATGGCTTGAAAAAATGGCAAAACTATTTTCTCTGTCTTTCAAACATCCTCCACTCCTTTTGGAGAACTAAAACCTGCATCCGTGCCTCAGGCCAGTGGTTGGGAGGGGCAGGGTCAGTCTGTTGTTATTTGTGCAACAGGAGATGGCCAGCCCAGACCTGGTAAAGGGAGGACGTGGGTGGAGGTCACGGGATTGTCTTCAGTGGAGACGGGACTATCAGAATCACCAACTGTAGTTGAACAGCAGTTGTCGGAAGCTGAGAACCCATCCTTTAATAGCTCTGCATTCCTGCTTATTATGAGGACCATGGCATTTCAGATAGGAGTCTCTGTCCTCCTCCTGTGCTGGCAAAGTAATAAACTTCTCTTTCCTTCCCCTCAAACCACTTGTTCTCATTCTTCTGAGAAGAGAGCTTTCAGTAACATCAGGAAGTGGAAAAGTAAAAGTTGCCAAAGGCTAAGGGAGGCGGAGTTAGAGTTTAATGGGTCCAGAGTTTCAGTTTTGCACGATGAAAAAGCTCTGGAGGTCTGTTGCACAATGACATGAATATACTGAACACTACCAAACTGTACTTTTAAAACTGCTTAAGATGATAAATAGAAAGTTCTGCATTTTTTGCCATAATAAAACAGAGAGAGAGAGAGAGAGAGAGAGAGAGAGAGAGAGAGAGAGACCTTAGTTTCTCTGGCTTCAACTCCTGCTCCCTTTTCCTATATCTTGCTCCCTTTTCTATTCTTTTCTCCTGTTTCCCCTTCTTTTTCCCCAACCCCCTTCCCTGAACTTTGACATACTGTAAGAATTGCAAAAAAACTGTTCTGAGAGTTGCCGGGAAGGGATCGCACTGACAGTCCCGACCAAGAGGCATAAAAACAAAGCAAAGCAATCTCCACCTGATACAACCCCAGGGTTTGCAGCGGCTGAAGATGAAGAAAAGTGTGTCCTGGGCCAGTCTACAAGGATGTGCACCTTTCCCTTCTCCTCGCCCTATAAATGTCTGATCCTGCCATGCCTCCATGATGCAACTGAGAGACTGGCTCGTTTAGCAGTCAGTGTGTTAAAAAAAGGACTGGGACCTCTCATTGGGCAGGGTAGGAGGCTAAGACTAACCCTAACCCTAACCCTAAAAAAAATGGGACAGATCAGAATATAGCCTGAAGCTGAAAACCCACCCTTTAAAAGCTCTGTATTTCTGTTTATTATTAGCATGATGACATCTTAGATAGGTGTCTCCATCCTCCTCTTCTGCCAACACATTAATAAACTCCTCTTTCCTTCTCCTCAAGCCACTTGTCCTTGTTCTTCTGATATGGCCTCAGGGACACGTGCAGTCGCTTTTAGAACTTTTGAGTGACTTTCCCGTGCACAGGTGCTCCCTGACACAGAGCTACAGAAACAAGCACTTCGCTCTACTTGGATCACTGTACTCCTTCTCTTCGACCACGCATTCATGTAGAATCCAGGAGTCGGCCATGTTGATTAATATTTGCTGAATTTTAAAACATTTCTGTACACGTTGAGCAAGTGAACAGCATTTTTCTCTTACCTTCCTGGTACCTTTTGAAACTCGAATGAATGGCAATATCTGTAAAGATTTCAATAAGGTCTTGACCACTGAGAGCAACAGCTCACATTTGCTTGCTTACGGGGTATGGCATTTGTGCTACGAGCTTTCTGTTTACTGTCTCATTTTATTCCCAGAAAAATCCCCTGAGTGTGAACTATTATAATCTCTAATTTGTAGATAAGGCATGAGGATATGGGAGTTTTCCATTTTTTTGTTGCAAGGATGTGTCAGAACAGTGTTCTCCAAGGTACTGGCTGTGTCTCCCTGATGAGGAGTGAAGCACATTTAGAACAGCATCGTTAGAAAAAGGAAGATAAACCTTAAAGAAATGCCTGTCTGATCCTAGGTGTGAGCAGAGAATGTATAGGAGGCTTCTGGGGAATTTGCTTTTGCCAGGAAGCAAGGCAGCTGTCAAAGTCTAATGAGGTCAGTTCACAGTCCTAAGAATCTGCTGAGAGGGAGTCCTATTGGTAAATTTGGGACAATTGGAAAATAAAAAAAAAAATTAGATCAATTTTTACATAGTGAATAATCAAAACATAATAGTCATACTCATGCAAAAGACCGTGCCAGGAAGGGAAGGGAGAACAGAAAGGGTCTTTTGTACACCCGAGTGTTTGCCAGTGATTGCGGCAGCAGTGATGGGCTCACTGATCACTGTTTAGCAGCACACTGCTGAACCCAGGCACGAATCCTCAAATGATGCTACCACCCTGAGTTACACATGTGTTTCACCTGCAAAGTACACTTCACACATTAGGTAGAATCAGAGTTGCACAAACGTGCTTCAACAGGTGTTGTGTGTGCCAAGAACAAAAAACGACAACCTTGTTCCTTAGGACCGTGGATAGAACTGGTATCTAAGACATCCAGTTTTTAAAGCTAACCCTAACCCTAACCTTAACCCTAACCCTAACCTCTGGGACTACTCTAATCTAAAAAAATGGCCCTGTGCTCTAGGGAGCAGAGGTCTGTGACATCTGAAAGGATAACTGGTCAGCTTTTCCGAGTTCAAGAGTGGTGATAGAAAGAAACCGCTTTCTGCTTCAAACCGCAGTTCCACACCAAAGCACATCCACGCGAGGGCCTCTCATAGGAATCCAAGTTTCACCCAACGGTTTCAGTGGGAACAAAAATACGGCAATTTGCTCTTGTGGATCTATGTACCTTAATCCACCCTGTGCCAAGCCAATACACCTAGACATGCTTTTCTTCCTGTGTCTTTTCCGTCTTCCCCCAAATAACAATCTCATAATATCTCTACAACTTTGAAACTTTTTTATAAACACTTGGTGATAGTCTAGGTCAAATCACATCTCTCAAGGACACACTTTGTATCATTCTGAATTCGTGACACTGTGCAGCACAGATCGTGGTATTGGCATTATTAGGATAAGAATACTGTTTTGTATTTCATATATGGATGTTTTAGAAGTCATCAAAATATCCTGAAGCTTCTCATATATTGATGTATCACATATAACAGTGCCTGGTATATAGAGAGAATTCAATAACCACGTGGGGAGTGAAGGAATGAAGGAATGAATGAATTTGAGAAGGCAGGGCTCAGAAAATGGGTAGCTTCCCCAAAGAGACCTTATCAGATTTCAAAGAGTAACAAATAAACAGTTCTAGGCATTTTCCTGTGACCAGCAATTCTGAAAAATCCATGTAATAATTTAAATTTATTGTTGAAATTGTATTCCTTCTGCCTAGCTATCATTTTGTGTTCCTTTAACAAATCTCCCCCATCCCTCCAACCACCCTTCCCAGCCTTTGCTATCCTGTGTTCTACTTTTTACTTCTATAAGAGGAATATATTTCTTTAGCAGTTCCAGTTTCCTAGAGCACTGTAGGATGATTATAATTAACAATAACACATAGGTTCAAATAGCTAGAAGGAGGATGTTGAATGTTCTCAACACGAGGAAATCGTAAAGGTTTGAGATGACAGAGAAGCCAATTACCCTGATCTGATTACTATACATCGTACATATCGAAACATCACTGTGTACCCCATAAATCTGCACAATGACTAAGCGTGCAAATTAAACATTTTTTAAATTAAAAATAAATACATTTATTGGTGGAAAAGGCAGCCGCCTTCCTCCCCCTCTGTTCCATAAAAGTCAAACATGATTCCGGTTTCTCGAGATACATGCACACACACACCAGAAGGAGATCACACAATGTTTTTTAAAATTTTAATTTAAATGCATTGGTGTTCGTCCACCTGTGATGAGGAGACAGCAGAATGAATAGCAGAATTGCACATTGAGCTCACACCCGGAGCCAGCGAACCACTGCCCACCAACGTGAGCTCTTGTCTTCACAGAAGCGGCGTTAACCCCAAATACTCGTTTTCCAGAATCCACTCTCTCAAGTCTGTTAGACGCACGCTTCTCCGTTTCAACACCATAGCATAACTGGTCAGCTTTTTCCCCCTGAACATCACATAGTATCACCCTGATGGTTGATTCCCACTCACCTGAGCTTATATCTGTATGGCTATTTTGTTGTAAATGAACCCCTGAAACATCACACGCACACTGGGAAGCAAGACTGCGGCTTCTAACCACTCAGATAGAAAGAGAAACAATGCCTCCATAACCCACACCTTGCACAAGCAAATGCCACAAATAATGCCATAAATGCACACAGATGCCTCTACCTCAAAAGCTAAACGGCTTCAGGTGACATAAAAGTAGACACCCTTATCCATTAAATTAACACTCTAGGACAGAGCTGTCCCAGCGCCTTCCAATACTCCTTGCTTTTCCCACGGTACGTGCATGATAAACAAACCTCTCAAGTGTTCCCCAAACCGCCTGTTTTCCTATCTTTATGACGATGCTCACTTTTAATGATAGCTGTAGAGGCCACTAACAACCACCCAGGGAGACACATGGCATATTTTGTTCATGCGTTAAATGAGGATATTTCCAAAGAGGAGGGTTTCTCTTGGAATAAAGAGTCCTGCCTCATAAAACTGAGAATTCTCCCAAAAGATCTGAGCTGACATGGCTTCGAAGAGAACAGTGATTCAATACGTCATTGAGAACTGAGGTAGCGGGTCAGACATCAACCCGAGAACAGTCAAGAGTGACCGAATGCAAACTCACTTTTTCCTTGAGCCCAGAGTAGCTCTAGGTCCCATTATTGCAAGAAAGTTGTTGCTATAAATCGTTCTGAGGGAACCCTCGATGCTTCTAAACCAGGAAGTAAATGAGTCTAGAAGAGGTGACATCCCCCCAAAGCCACCTGAAATCCGTCTCCCAAACGTCTCTGGCACGTCTCCAACAGGATTTCTGACAACGGCACTGGGAAGTTAGGATTTAAAGCAGAGAGACAACAGCTATGGAGTTTCTGAGATATCCTTTGTAAAATCTAAATGACAAACTCAAGACAGCTAATCATTTACTTAGCCCTAAAGAAAACAAGCTTTTCATTCTCGAAATACGTACACTGGTGTTATCAGCTTACTGACGGAAGGAAATTTGCAGTGAGGTCGAACGCTATCTAGGAGACACCTGGTAGCACCTGCATAAGCTGGTCCACCAGCTTCTAGACGGAGGTCCTTGAGCAACAGCAGAGACCACCACCAAGGGTCCACTAACGCTTTGTTCCTGCTCTCTTTTGCCGACAAGGTTCAGACAAGCGCCGACCTCTCAGGAAAGCCCCGAAGGCACCGCTCGCTTGCACCAGCCGGGAGCTCCACGCTGGGACTTCGTGTGAGGCGCTCCGGTTGGTGAACCGCAGACAGAGGCACGAGGTTTCTCAGCATCTCCCTTTGAGAGGACGAGAGGAGACGTCCATGGAACAGGACCACACATCCACCGGGACACGGTGTCGCCACGCCCGGTGCACAGCAGGTGCCTGCATGTCACTGCAGGAAGCGGTCCAGCTTCTCCTGGATGCGGGCGAACGCGTCCTTGCCCAGGTAGTCGATGTGGCCTTCTTCCCACTTCCTCCTCTCCTCCTCGGGACTCGGCGCCTTCACCTTCTCTTCGATGGAAATCTCGGAAACCGAGACTGCCAGGGCCACCTGGGGAAGACATGTCAACGGGACATGGCGTTGGAAGCTGTGTGTCCCCAAGGCAGAGACTGCCCCATCCCTGCACTGTAGGGCGCTGCTAAAGACACACCTGCGTTCTCGGGAGACAGTACTGATCCTTAGCACGTTTCTTCTGAACTAAACACACACTAGATTTAATATAGCATGCATAGATTGTTTTTGCCGGTGCCTTTTTTTTGGAAATTTTATAAAATGTAATTGCATATGCGTTCACTTTTTCCCAAGAATCGTTTTAATTTCTAAACCACTTTACACAAACATACACACACACTACTCATTGAATACTTCCACCCGCCAACATCTCTGTTTTGTATTACCGTAAATAACCAAAATAGATTGCATGAAGAAAATGTTCACCTCCTGTGGATAAAATCCATAATAATTGGGACTGCTTGGCAAAATCATTTGAGTAATAATTCAAGTAATTTTCTGCTTTTGATGGCACAGTTTCTGTCTTCTTAAGGGGTAAATATGAGAAAATACATAAATACACAAGTGTGTAAATTCAAACAGACACACGCACGCCTTACTTTTGTTTGACAGTCAGATGAGTCAATGAAAATAATAAATACTTCTGCTTAAATACTTCTTACCAAGAACTAGAAAAACACTTTTAAAATTTTGTGGGTAGTAAAAAAGACTTTAAAAAATGTTATGGGTAGTAACAATAACATACATGCACACATGTATATAGCATCTGTCTACCTAGATGGATGGATAGAGATTAGATGAATAGGTAGATAGGTTGATAAGTAGATGACAGACACAGAGACAGACACAGAGGTGATTGACAGACATAGGTGGATATATGATATATAGAGACAGACACACAAAAAGACAAATTATAGTCTTTATGCCAGTAGGCATACGGTACTTTCTCTTCTAGCTATTTGTCACAGTATTTTTATAGG